TTGTGATTTTTGGGACCGGTTGTGATAGGGCCCGCTTTTCAGTTGTAGTAGGGACAATCTGGTTGCAGTACGGACCGTCTGGTTGTAGTAGGGACTAGTCGTGCCCCCATCCGTGGGTATTTGTGTGTATGAGTCAAAGTCCCAATGGCCGCATGCAAGCTGCGGCGAAAGCTAAACCTTGCATCCTCAACCCTGAACAACGTACCCGAACTTCAGACCTCAGTGCGGATGGATGTTTCTTGAGTTTAGGGGCTCCTCATACACCTTCAAAACTCTGCAGTTTTGTCTGTAGGAAGTATACATAAAACAAGGGACCCCAATAAGTCAGAAAAAATGAGCAGTGGTCCTTTAAGTTTAAACCCTTGGTTTTCGCCCTCGACTCTCAACCGTACGTAGCCCTTACAGCATACATTAATATGTGTATCTATATATATATATATATCTCTCTCTCTCTCTCTCTCATGTATGTGTAGATACCATATATATATATCTATATATGCATCACACACACACACACTCGGACGCCAGGCGGACTGGCCTGACAGAGGGGATACGGCCTCCATCGAAGCTGCGCAGATGGCTCTGCCTGCCTACTGGTCCAGGGTTTATAGGGTTTAAGGTTTGGACTGCCCTCACCCTGTAGCAGTCTATGAAGGGGTAATATTAAACGTTATGCATACAACTCTTACACGCATTAACAAATATTATCCAACTGTTACTGAGAGGGACAGTACCCAAGCAATATCAGCTCTCCCCACACTCCCACGCCTCAGCTTTGTGATGGTGAGGTTGGACAACTTCAGCGTGGCCGTGAAAGAAGGCCAACGTTGGTAGAAGAAAGGGCCTTATACCTGAGTGTTTCCAACATGTAAGCGTGTGTGTATGCAGGGACCCCCCCCAAAGGTGCCCCCAATTTTATGTTAGGGTTCAGGGTGATGGTTGGGATAACCTATACTTATATACAGCCAGCTAGGGGGATGGATATTGAGCAGGGTTATAGTAAGCCACTATAATTCGGGGTAAACGTCTCTTCTGCCCCCTGAAAAGAATGCAGCCCTAAACCCTAAAAAAACAACAGCCCTAAACCCTTAGTCTTGATAAATGCAGAACCTGACGTGTGACATGGAGCCTTTGCTACTTGAATCGCAGTGATCGGGTTTCGGGTTTAAGGGTGTAGGGTTAAGGTCTAGGGATCCAAGTATACAAATAATACCAGTAATGGAACATTCAAAATGGCAAATAAAATGAAAACTGGTGCTATACAATGGTTATATAGGGATCCAAGTATACAAATAATACCTGCATAAGACCCTATAAAGTCTGTAAATATTGCATACCTTGGGCTATTTGGATCCCTCGGGGAAGGTGAGGTGTGAAAAGGCAAGCTGAAACAGAAGGTTTTGGAGCCCTTTCTTTAGTACTTGCCTTATGTTGGGCCCCCACCCACTAATAGTGACCACAAATGGTAATGGTAATTATATTAAGGTCCACATATATTCCTAGTATACCACTATTAGTGGGTGGGGGCCCAACCCAATACTTGCCGCAGGTGGTCCATCCAGAGAGAAGGCAGAGGCTGGGTAGCAGCCACGATGTGGAATTGATTTTCGCTAGCCTTCGTGGGGGTATGTCTCAGGTTGGACATCCATGATTTGGTGGGCATGCCGAGGGTACGGTACTGTTGTTATTGGCATTTTTGTTCTTATTTTAGTACTATTACCATATTTGCTTTATTGTTGTTATTGTTCTTCTGTTACTATTACTAGTACTTTTACCATACTATTAGTACTAATACTGCTAGGCACTCTCCTCGCAGCCTTTTTGTATCCCAGAGATGGAAATTCAGCCGCGGGCATATCCGGAAGCCAGCCCCTTGCCGACCATGAATGGAAACGCAATTCAGCTCTCCCCGACCCAGCAGAAGGCCTGGAGGATTACGCGGTTTAGGGTTTAGGTTTGAAGGTCTGAGGCAATGCTTTCAATGTTCACTCTCCTGACTTCTTTTGTGACGAAAATGTTCGATATGAGCAGTACTTTATTAGGGGATACTATGGTGCCTCATATATAGAGAAGGATTATGTCCTCCATCTGGGTTAGTATCTGATGCACAGAATGTAATCTTGTTTGGTCCAACTACCAAAACAATCGCTACTCATATGGCAACTTCTAAACTTTCAGATAGATTCCGCTGAACGCCGAGGTCATTGAACAGAATAGGTAAGTACAGCTACATGACATAGGCCGACCACTCGTGCGCCGCAACGTCATCCTCAAGGGCAGACTACTTTAAGGGTTCAAGTACCCAGGTCCATCAAGTTTTTGGTGCCGGTAATTGTAGTACGGGTTTTGGGGAACTGTATGCTTATTGAGTATCTGGACGCCTAGAGTTGTATATCAATCCGGAAAAACCTTCGAAGTTGAGACATTCTACGACCCTGAAGACTAAACTCCAATCTCTACCATAAAATCCCAAGCTTTACCTAAAGAACCCCGTCCGCAACCGAGATCTTTCCCAGCAGCTGCCTATGAGCTCAGCAGACAGAATTAGTCTTAGGGTTTTAGCGCTGGAAATTGAGAGTTTGCCTTTTTCTGATGTGTACTTTGGCTTGTCAAAAATCAGCGCCGTCAACTTCATCACAGAGTTCCATCCAACAAAAACCGCTTGCCGTGTTCCAGGGCTCTGGGTAGATTAGAGAGAGGGTGCTGCCCTCAAAGTGGGTTAGTGTGTCAAAGCTGCATTACATGCCACTCACCACAGAGAATGAAGGGGCTCTAGTTAGCTCAGCCCCTAAAACTAGGACTCTCTTACTGTTATAGCCATATGACAGTCATATGGTCCTTATCAAAGCAGTTAGGGCAACTGATATCCCTTGTTTAACTAAAAAATCGCCTACGTAATCCTAGTTTCCATTTCGCATGCCATGTTTTTGTTCCATTTGATTCTCCATCATTTGCTATTAAATCCTAAAACCCTAAACACAATGTCCTCTAATAGATAGGCCTTCGAGCTACTGGTGGGCGCCATTAAGACCAAAGCTGCACCGCTCGTGGAGCTGCGCTCGCCTCCCGTTCCTGGGCGCGTTGTGAGTTGACCCAACTTTTGGGGCTTCAAACGGGTTATGTTGATACATAGGGGTACACACAGATATGTATATGTATATATACTATATACATAAACATAGGGATATGTAGGATTGAAGTGTCCAAGTACCCAAATATTAGGCTTCAGGCACAAACAAAAACCCTACAGAGTATAGCATTTGGGAGCTGAAGCCTCATTGTTTGGGAATTTGGATGGTTGAGAGCTTATGGTCTTGGAGGTTTGGTGGCTTTAGGTTTGCAGCTGTTGGGGTTGTGAGATTTTGCATTTTGGGCTTGGGCTTAGGGTTAACTTCAGGATCAAAAGTCGTTGGGCTATATGATTGAGGTTTGTTAGGCTTTCAGGCGCTAGGGTTCAGGTTTGATGGGTCTGTGTGTGTGGGTTCTCAAATTCATGGGAGCCTTCTTGGTATTGGTAGCTGGGATGATGCCCCAAGCATACCCGAATCTTGTGATACACCTAAATCGCAGGTCAAGGAATGCGTGGGTTCTGTGTGCCTCTACATCTTAAGGCATACTCAGAAGCTACCCACTTTTAGAAAGTCCTCCATCCCTGGACCCTAAATATGAAGCCGGGACCCAAGTCCCTAAGCATAAGTGCTACACTGGATAACCTTCAAGGCCTAAAAATGCCAGATCCAAACCCTCGGCCCCAAATTAGGGTTTAGGGTTTAGAGTTTAGGGTTTAGAGTTTAGGGTTTAGAGTCATCATTGCTGGGCAAATGTTAACAACCTCACCCGATGTCGCACGAAATGGAGGGCTGTATTGCAAACAGTTCCAAAATCCCTGTATTTCTGGCTCTCAACATTGTAAAGGCTTCCGACTTATGTTACTGGGACCAATCACACAAAAGCCATGAACAACGTGAAAAAGACAACTGTTCTGCGTACTGTCCGGGTTCCCGAACCTCTGAGCCCTATAAACCCTATGAAGTAGTGTCTCAGGTCCCCTTAGTTGGGCTTGTGGGCTTTTATAGGGGGCATACAAGGGGTATATGAGGACCCCAGGAGTGAGGGCCGTTACCAAGGGCCCAAACCCTAAGCACTCAACCCTAATCCCTAAAGCCCTCAACCCTAAAACCCTAACACCCTCAAACCCTAAAACCTTAGACCCTAAACCTTAAACCCTCCAACATTAGAAATAGCCAGCCATTGAGGCCCTGGGGCGAGGCTACGGCGTGACGTCGATCCTGAAATCTGCAGCAGCTCAGTGCTCGGGATCTTACCTAGGGTTTAGGGTTTACGGTTTAGGGTTTAGGGCTAAGGGTCCAAGGACCCAAATAATGGGGTCCCTTTAAAGGGGCTATAGGGGGATATATCGGGATATGTGGGGACTGTAAAAAGGGTCCAAGGACCCATTTAATGGGGCTTTAGGGCCCAAATACTATAACATTAATGGTATTTGGGCCCTAAAACCCTATTATTTGGGTCCCTGGACCCTTAGGGTTATGCCAGGACTCAGCCCAAAGGGTCCATGTACCCAAGAATTGGGTACTTAGGGCTTTGGTACAGGTCTTGGGTAAGTATATGGTTATTGAATACTTGGACCCTTAGGGCAGGCACATTATCCAGTCGATGTTCTGCATTCTGGAGTCAGGTCCATAACAGGCTGACACAGCCATCTCGCCCTGCAGGCAGAAGGGCCAAATCAAGTCTGGAGCAGCCTGCCGTAGTCCTCTTAGGCGTACCTACATGCCCCTGCCTTCAGGTCCTAAACCTAAGCTTGCCTAACCTGAACGACGCACACCTGAACCCCGAAAACCCAAATCCTGGACCCCTAAAACCCCTAAACCCCAAATCCTAAACCCCTGAACCCTAAACCCCAAGTCCTAAACCCCTAAACACTTTGAACCCCACATCCTAACCACCTAGAAGCTCTAAAGCCCAAATCCTAAACCCCTTAAAGCCCTAAACCTTAAATCCTTCACCCAAACTTTCAACCATAACCTGGGTTGCTGTTAAGGA